CTCACACGCACATACAATAGGGTTTTCCCTATTATTATTAGTTATTATTATCATCATCATTGTTATTATCATCATCATCATCATTGTTGTTATTATTATTATTATTATTATTATTATCATCATTATATTATTCTTATTAGTAGTATTATCATCATCATCATCATCAGTGTTATTATTATTATTATCTAGGGGTGACCCCGAATAGTCAATGATTCGGTGATTCGATTCAGAGAAGTCTGATTCGACTGCCAGTCTCGCCGTTGAATCATCGCAAAATGTGGTTATGAAACAAGGCCGTACCATTCTGACTATATGGGGGTGCTCACTGCTGCTGAACATCTTGATTTGACATAGAATGTATTTGTTTTCTAGTAATTTATGATATATAGCCTATTTTGATACAAACATCAGCCTAATTTCTGTTAATAAAAAAACTGAAAATGACACGTGCGTTTAATCAGTAGGCATAATAATGAACTAAGCATGAATAAATCACCCAGTTGGTCGATCCAAATAAGCTGAGGTGAGTGAGTGCGCTGCAGGACCATCAGAGCAGTATCGAGGCCTACGGTGATTTACGGTGGAGGAGCGCATAAACAAACACTTTGGAGGAGGTATTTGCTCTCAAATCAAACTTTCTGATTTTACCTTAAGTGTCTTGAAACAAATTTCACCGCTGATTGTTTTCTTGATAGACTCTGATTTTTTATCTATTTATTATCACTAGTCTGTCTGACCAGTGCGGCCGGGAGTGTGGCCAGGAGTGGGAATTTCAGCACCATGGACAAGCGTCTCCTTTTAAATGTGTTTGCTGCTAGCGAAATTATACATAATAAATGAAGACAGTGACATATTTTCAATAAAAAATAATGAGTTGAACGTTCATTTCAAGCTTTTGTAGTACAACGAATTTCAGAATTGTGTGATTGCGGCTGGAGAGCAGGTGGCAGCGTTTGATGCAGGAAACTCGATATGGATCAGTTTCGGAGTGGGGGTGGTTCGGAACGGCGGTGTTTCAGAATGGAGGGCTGTCCCCAGCTGGGCAGCGCGTCTGTGCTCTTCTAGAGCATCATACCTTGATGACGTGAAAAGAATAAAGATTAAGATAAAATGATAACCCTTTTACTTTTATTATTATTATCTTATTATGCAAACTGAAGAATTAAATTTGTTTATTTGGATGTTTTAGCTTCTTTCTCTGGAGCAGAAACTGACGCAAATGAGCTCATTAATCAATGAGGGGGAAACAACATGATTCGACTATTAGTCGGCTAAAGGACAAATCTGTGAAATACTGTTTGCCGTGCTGCTGTAGCTCAGTCGTAACTGTAACTGATGCTGAGACTCTACTGACTGCGTGACTGGTAGACAGCGGTGGGTGGCGCAACAGGCCAAAACACAAATTCAAAACATAAACATGATTTGCAGACTGCAAAAATAATTTTAAGATGCAAATATTCTGGCTGTACTATTGTTGTCAGTGAGATCAGTATGTTATATGAACATTATTCCTCAGTCTCTATGACATATTAGGATGATTTGACGACTATTTGCTTTATATTTCTTACATATAGCTCCTTTAAATGCAGTAGATTTGTGTTATGCAGACACAATGTAGCAAAATATTTTAAGCCAAATATGGGGAGTTTTGTCTGGGTGCAGTGGGATTCGAACCGCATCTCTCTGTGAAGGGCTTCTGGCCACTAAAAAAATCCTCTACACCTATCTGCGCCCCCCACCAAAATCAGGGTATTTGTTTTTATTTTAAAACTTTAAAATGGGGAAATAACCAGTGTGTCACTCTGCAGTAGTAACAGGTTGTAGCGCAGTATATCATCTTCACCACAAGATGTCAGTCTAACACAGTCAGAGGGATAGCAGACATGCAGAGTTGGGTATAACCCGTTAGAGTACTTTGATTACTTTTTGCAGTAACGAATAACCTAACGCGTTAGTTTGCTGTTTGAGTAATCAAATACTTAAGTAAATTTTCAAACAAGACATCAGTTACTTCCATTACTTTTAGAACGGTGGTCCTTCAGCTCCGAAACAGCAACGGCTGTCGGTTGGTTGACGGAGATGACATTAAACCTATCAGTCTGAAAGAAGTCATGGAGCTTGTGGCTCATTACGTGGTCGAAGAAATGTTGCCGTTGTCTACGGTGGAGTCTAAATAGGTGGAGTAGGACTCGCTGACAGACATATTTCAGACTCAGGACTTGCATTATGCCTGGTACACGCTACACGCTGGTACTCACCAATTATCCCCGGTCGTCTTTCACTGCGTGTGTGATGTCATCAGGTTATTCTTGTCCTATTTTTATTTTACTATTATTTGAGTCACTGTGTCTGTTCATGTGCCAGCCGACATGTTGTTGTAGTCACCTAAAAGCGTCAGCAGATGGCAGGAGCTACATTTGAAGTGCCATACGTAAACTGTCAAGCTACTGTATCTTCCACAGGAAGTTCTGACAAATGTTTCAGAATAACAGCCTATTTAGAAAATGGAGGGATTCTCTCAGCCGAGGTTATAAGGGGCTTTTAATTTGAAACAAGTGTTGAGTTTGAAATGATATGTTAACTTTACAAAGACAACGGAGCAGATAAAAAGTAAATATATAAACACATAGAGGGATTAATAAATAACAGACCGTTTATAATGTAGTTTGTTTCAAATGAAGCTGGGAGCCTCTGCAGTTGTGGTGAGTAAAAGCCCCGCCGCTATTTGTTAATGTTATTACTTCATGTCCGACCGTGAGGATGTACCATTGTTTGCTAGCTTGATGCTAATGATAGTAACGTTAACTCAGCGGGTTGACAAAGTGCCTCTGCTGTTTCACACCATCATTTCCCCCTTTTACTCTGTGTGGTAACATAAATATTCCATATATAAATATTAAAAATGCTGGGGTGTTGTTGTCATACAGTTGTCTACGGCAGCAGATCGTTCTGTGTCTCTACTGGTCAAAGTGACGGCTGTGATGGGAGAATTGGATCTCAGTGAAGGGCAAGTGATCCATAACTTTAATTTTGGAGACCAAAAAAATGTAGGCTTAGCGCCCTGTGGTCCATTGCCCAACAGGAAATGTAGAATACTCAAAAGTACTTTAAAAGTGCTTGAGTTACTTTTCTCAGGGAGTAACATTGGAAGTACTTTTAAAATAACTGAGTTACTTTACTCAGGGAGCTGAGAACAGACCAGTTTTTAGTGGACCTTTCAGTTACGTCGCAGCAGTGTGCGCACACTGGTGGCAGATAAACAGCAGACACTGATGGGAAACATTTGAGATACCCAGAATAAAAATGTCTTCTTGTGCCACTGGATGTCAGAACAAGTTCAATTTTTATTGAAAACCGTCCCTGAGGACGCTGTTTGAAGCTAAACGAAGACCTTTATGGTTGCTAGAATTTGATGTCAACAAAAAATCTGCATAATATTGACATATGTTATTCATAAGGCCCCACAGTTACAGCATGAGATAATATTCAGGCCTGTATTTATGTTCACCCAGTGGCAGCAGTATTTAGATTGTTTTAAAATACATTAAAGAATGAAAAGAAGTTCATACTAACAGAGCCATGAGGTGTAGTTTGCCATCAGTCAACAGCTGTTTGACTTGTTTATGTCTTATAGAGCTTCGTTTTATGTCATTGTCACTACTAAGCAAACCATATAAAAGTAAAACAGTAAAACTGGATTTTTCTCAAAGTCTGTAAATAGAGCTCCAGATCAAGACGTTACAGCAGCAGGGAGAAGATTATCACTAGTACATGAGTTTGAATATCTGGGTGTAGTAATAGATTCACAGCTGACATTCAGAACACGAGTTCTGGGGGGTGGGGGTTATATTTTAAGAGGAGAATTTAATTTAAAACATGTCTTAAAACAACTAAGAAGAATCTATACATTACAGTGTGTGGGGCAAATAAAAAAGATGTGCCTCCCCGTCGGGGAATCGAACCCCGGTCTCCCGCGTGACAGGCGGGGATACTCACCACTATACTAACGAGGAATGCGACAAACACCACATCTGCAGTACCCTTTTTGACCATTATATAGACTCAGTGGACCATTGGCGTTGTTGCACTGGTTCAACAGTGAGAAAAAGAGGTCGGGAAGGATTCTATAAAATGTCATTGTGACAGTGTCATTGTCTGTCCATTTCAAAATAAAGGCGGAAACACATTAACAATGACCGTTTGTAGTTTGATTTGCTGTCACTAAAACGTTATGTTTCCGCCCGGTTTCGAACCGGGGACCTTTCGCGTGTGAGGCGAACGTGATAACCACTACACTACGGAAACCACCATGGAATCATAAACTGAATAAAACCACTTATTTCACTTATTGTGAAGACATGGCCCTACATGAAGAGCGGATGTCCGTTAAAATACCCAGTCACGTTATAATTTGTGTTAGTGGCGACCACAAACCGAAACCGAAAAGAACTATCCTGTGGGAAAATGTCTTCCCTCTCCTACCAAGAAGAACCTTTGATAGAATGAGTCATAATTATACAATGAAATTAGTTTCCGTAGTGTAGTGGTTATCACGTTCGCCTAACACGCGAAAGGTCCCCGGTTCGAAACCGGGCGGAAACAGTATTTTCATACCGGCGGAGACGTCTGTAGGCATTTTTGATAACGTCATAACGTTACTTTGACGCTTCTGAATAAGGCGGATCAGAGTAAATGCTAGAAATACTGTTTCCGCCCGGTTTCGAACCGGGGACCTTTCGCGTGTGAGGCGAACGTGATAACCACTACACTACGGAAACTCGTGCACACTGGCACGTGAGCGTGAGCGCGAGCGCGGAGGGATATTTAACATAGATGTAATTGGGTTTGTGAAGTTTTGCTCGGTTAAATGTTATCTGCAACACATTAAACGGACAAACTTCGACGAGGCGAAGCAGCGACAGTCGCGCAGCAGCAGAACATCAGTCCAAAAGCAGATGGAAGTTGGTGTAACAGGTAAAATGTGCGTACCAAACACTCACCGGTTTATAGTTCGGTCTCCTTCCGTTAACATGGTTCGTGACGGTGACTCAGGTCCACTGAAAGTTCAACAATCACGGCTGCAGAATGATCCACGACCCGCACTGTCCGCCTCAGTGCTGCAGACATTTTCACCAGTACACAGACCAATGCACTGATTCAGAGTCAGTCCTTACGGACCCGTCCACGCACTCGCGACGACGCGCATGCGTCCTTTTGGACAGGTAAGAGCGTCTCCTGACTCTCCTATTGGTCAGAAATGCTGGTTAAAACGTGTTTTTGTTCTTCTCTGTATATATGTATTTACTTCACTGGCGGCCAAACTTTGTCCTGAAAGCAAATGTGTTTCTGAAGATGGTGAAGGCGTCGCCCGCTTAACTCAGCTTCTGATTGGCCGATCCTATTCTTATCCTAACTAGGACCCTACAATAACAATCAAACCGACGAAGGCGGCAGGTAGAAACCAATCAGAGGGAGAGTGGGCGGGGTACTTTTCTAAATATTAGCTACAGTTTTACTGATATTCAGGCTTCCCTCACATTTTCATGGGCAAAATTTCAAAACTTTTCCATGACTTTCAAGGAGCAGCAATGACTTACTTTTTTTTTTCTTGCCCGACTTACCTGTCACTGTAATTTCAGCTAGCTGGTATGAACATATAAAAACGTAGCCTACGTGAAACAACCATCACACATCAACACATATGAGATCTACGTTATGTCTGCAGCTGCACAACATAAATTTGTGATTTATTTAACAACTGCGTTGTGTCAGCGGACTACTGTAATGATGTCATGAAGCACAGCATGACTTTTCCCCAGGTTCTCCATGACCCTGCATGTTCATATCGGCCACTCAAATGTTTCATGATTTATTTTCCTCTGTCAACACTGTACCGAGTAAAGACAGTCACACTGACACTTTGAACATGTTTTATTAAAACAACACACTGAATTCTGAAGATTCAAACACACAAAATCAAAACTTAACAAATGAAACAATTATTAATAAACATTCTTAAATGTCTGGATTGGTACTCCTCTACTGTATATCATTATAATGTGAATAACGTTTGGTTTTGGTTTAAACAAAATACCCCTGTACCAAAAAATTTATATAAAAAAATAAATGTAAAGAATAAACAAACTGAAACTAAATCGCAAAGTAGAGATCTGGAGAGGTCAGGACCAGTCCAGGTGTTTCACGTATTAAAGACAGCTGTAAAGAAAACTCTTTGGATAATTCAGCTCCTGGTAAAAACGAACCTGAACATCTTGTTTTTATTTATTAGAGCTGAGCATAAGTTAGCTGCAGATCGGCTCCAGCCCCTACTTTGCCAGACTTCACTGGAAAAACACAGATTTTTAACTTGAAATGTCTTTTTTCATGTTTTTACTGGTTTTAATCAGCTGGTCTGTTTGTTTTAGAGAAGAAGAGACCTTTACTGATAATTCAGCTGCTGGTTAAAATGACCTGAACATCTGTATTTTACATTATTAGGGGAACCAGCTGAGCATACCTTAGCTGCAGACTGGCTTCAGCCCCTGCTGTGCCAAACAGCATCGCAAAAACACTTATTTTTAATATGAAATGTCTTTAATCAGTGTTTTTACTGGTTTAAATCAGTGGGTCTGTTTGTTTTGGGAAGGAGGAGACCTCTGTGTTTATTTCAGCTCCAGGTAAAAATGGACTTAACATCTGGATAAGTTATTCGAGGAACCAACCCAACATACGTTAGCTGCAGATCAGCTCCAGCCCCTACTGTGCCAAACTTAACTGAAGAAACACTGATTTTTAACGTGAAACGTCTGCATTCAGTGTTTCTACTGGTTTAAATCAGCTGGTCTGTTTGTTTTGGAGAGGAAGAGACCTCTGTGGATAATTTGGCTCCTGGTAAAAACCTCCTGAACAATGAACACTGAGGGAATTCTTACCAGGAGAAGTTTCAGCTGGTTGCAATCTGTAATTCCTCTGCAATGCTTTTCTTACCTTAATATGGTCATATTCAGGATGAGACTTCCAGTATGACAGGGACATTGGTGTGCATGTAAAAGTGCTGACTGAGAAATGATGATGATGATGATGATGATGATGATGTGGGTTGGTTTTGGTGGATTCACAGTCGCCTCCCCTTCTGTGCGACCCATCTGTCCCATTCAGTCTTATAGAATTCGGACAGTTGGAACTCCCTCCAGCTAATCTCTTTCACCATGCCGTGCTCCTTGTACAGGGAGAACACTCTGGAGGGGCAGTAGATGTATTTGCCCGGCACCCCGGGGAAGCCGGTGTGGATATGAGGGCTGTCAGGGCCCTGCTTTAGAGGCCGGTGACAGAACCTGCACTGGTGACCTTTTGGCAGCTGCGCAGCGGCCCTCCTCTTTGCCCTCTCCTCTGCCACCTTCCTCCACTCAGCTGACCTCCGTTTGGCGGCCTCCAGCTCCCACTCAAAGAACGGAGATGCTGCAAAGTCCTGGAACGTCATCCGAGGGTCTGTGAGGCCTTCAGCTGCGTACATGTTAAACACCTTCGTGGAGCAGTAGAAGTACTTGACTGTTTTTGACTGGTAAAAAAAATGAACAGAAGAGCCATCTGCAAGATACCTGCGGAGCATGAGAAATGACACAGGTATTAATAAAT